GGCCCTCTCAGGGGTGGTGGCATCCCTAGGGGACCCTCCAAGCAGTGCATTGCCCCCAGAGGCTGTCCTTAGGGGTGGTAATGCCTCTCATCTCAGGGCAGCAGCGCCCCAGGGCTCTGCTAAGACTGTGGCACCCCAGGGCGGTGGCGCTCCCAGGGGCGGCAGCGCCCCTCCCTAGAACTACCCCATACCATCCAGCTGGAAACGGACAGTGCAAGAGGTTGCAAGAGGTTTCACCGCACAATGTACCAATTGTTGCAAACACTGTCAGTCGAGCAAAAGAGACATTGGGCAAAGCATCTGCGAATGGTAACCGCCATCCATAAAAAGACTCCTAACTCGACCACTGGGTTCTTCCCCCACACTTTGATCTTCGGTAATGATCCCAAGCTTCCGATAGATATGTTGTTTGCACAAGCAGAGGAGGAGGCCTTGCGTGATGACTGGGTGGCCCTACACAGAGAAGTATTTGAGAATGCCTGGAGAGTTGTAAATGGTAATTTTGAGAGTGTCAGAGAGGGAAGCGTCTGTATGACAAGACAGTGAGAAAAAAAGTATTGGACGTTAGTCAGCGTGTACCAGTGTGAGACCTTCATGGAAAGGAAGGAGTTAAATCCAGGACAACTGTTATGATGGAGGATATCCATTATGAATGAGGAGGAAGTGTGTTGAGGATTGTTCCTGAGGAAGAAGATGGTCTCAAAGTGGTTAATACATCACATGCATTTGGCGGCAGCCCCAAGGGTGGCTGAGTCAAGCCGACGGGCTAACAAAAGCCAGTTCCCTGTACTGCATATCATCAATATGTTAACTAAATTTTAAAATGACTAATTTATAAAAAATGCAAAAATATTAAAGAGCACAACTTTCTTGATATTTACTCCACGAAAAACGAATGTAAATAGAACAGATTACTGAATTGGCAGACTAGCCCATCAGCTGATCAGCTGATGCTCACAACAAAACGTGTTGTTTGTAAGGATTTCATTGATCAAAGTTTTGTTCGTTAACCGAATTGAAGATCCTTACGGGAGGTAATTCGTTAACCGAGGGACCACTGTGTGTGTGTGTGTATATATATATATATATATATATATATATATATATATATATATATATATATATATATATATATATATATATATATATATATATATATATATATATAACCGACTTTCGGATTAACCGCCAATCCCTAACCTCTAAAAAAAAAAAAAGTTACAGGATTAGCCCACCGGCACAGCTCACTGACCCACACTGGGCTCGATAATGTAATATTATTAATAATGATAATGCTAATAATAATAATAATAATAGTAATAAAGAACCATAAAGAAATGCAAAAAAAAATCAAGAGTGGAGAAACAATGTACCTGTATATGTTGTGTTGTCAATAGTAAGAGAAACAATTGAGACCCTGCAATTGTGTGTAAATGAGGCAGAAAGTCAGATTAGCAACCTGGGACTTGGTCACAATTTTTGTGATGACATATGTTCTTGACTTTTCCATTTTTATTCACGTTTCTGTGCTGGTTCATATTTATTTACTAAAGTGGTTAATGTTTTAAAGCAAATTCTTTTGAAATATGAATGGCAAATGAGCAAAATGAATACCGGTAGAGGACTTAATGAGGTAGGTTAGGAAAGGCATTGAAAAATTTTATTTCCGTAGACTTATGTACCACAGGTTGACAACCCTTTATCCGAAATTCCGAAAACCGAAAAGCTCTGAAAACCGAAAGTTTTTTAGGAGCAAAAAGTTTTTGTTTTTGTTTTTGTTTTTTGTATTTTTTTTATAAACAGGATTAGCCCACCCAGGAAGAAATGATCAGTGACCCACATCTGTCTGGGGGCAAAATGTAATAGTAATACTAATTATAATACTAATTTAATAATAATTATTCATAGTAAATAAAATTTTAATTAAAAATACACCAAATAAAATAATAATGATAATAATAATAAAATATAATAGTAAAATTTATAATAATAATAATAATAACAATAATACTGTATTAATAAAATAATAATAATAATAATAATAATAAAGAACAAGAATGAAAAAGATAAAAAGTGAGAAACAACTTCCAGACCTATGAATTATTATTATTACTTATTATTGTTGTTTATTATATTTTCGCCCCAGGCCCCAATGTGGGTAAGTGACTTGTGCCCAGGCTAATACACATTAAAAAAAAAAAAAAAAATCTGAACCGAAATGTCTCTGGCCCCAAGGATTTCGGATAAGGATTGCCAACCTGTATTAACCCACCTTTTCGACATCCGCCGGCCCCTTCCCCCATATGTGGTCGGTTAACATCAATGATTTCATATATATATAACTTAAAATGGCTTGACTTATATTAAACATTGCGAAATACTGACTGTTTGACTTTATTATGGTCAGTATTTTCAACAATGTTTTTACGTGCCTTGAGAATTTGCAGTCCGGAATTCATCGATGAGGAATACAAATATATATATAATATTGGTTCAAACCTTAAATACCCTAGATCTTTCATAGACAAATGCTTAAACATTACTAAGAAAACTTTTTATAGAACTGACCCCAAGCCCACCCATGACCATAAGAATATCTTAATATTACCATTTCACAAAAATTTCTCACACATTCCTGCACAGCTAAAAACCTGGAACGTCAATGTGGCATTTAAAAACTCATGCACTGTTAAACAAATGTTAATCAAGAACTCCCCAACAACACAATTGGTTGCATTTATAAAGTTCCTTCCAAGGAATGTAATATGTTTTACTTAGGCCAGACAGGTAAAGATCTTGCAACTAGAATTAAACAACACAAATACAGTGTTAGGACAGGCCAGGAATCCAATGCTCTGTTTGTTCATTTGAGGGATAACAAGCATTGCATTGACTGGAATAATGCCTCCTCAATATTACCATGTAATTCAATTGATAGTAGGAACATCATAGAATCTAGTCTTATTAAACATACCGAAGCATTCAACATGAATTTGAGTAACGGCATGTACAAGCTGGACAATTTTGTAATTAAGAAGATTTGTGATCAGGTGAGAAGGCCGGGTCACTTGACCATCTGACCTGACCACCAACCGCTGTGTGCTATTTAAAGATTAGTAGGGTCATTACCTAATACCTGACCATTGTGGACCTGGTCTCACCCTCCTCTGTATATATACACCTTGATTTGTATTACTCTCTCTAGTCTGTACTCACCCCTGAAGATGTGAATTACACGAAAGCGCTTGGGAACTTCGTGTTTTCTTCTTTCCTTGTGGTTACTCAGCATATATATATATATATATATATATATATATATATATATATATATATATATATATATATATATATATATATATATATATATATATATATATATATATATATATATATATATATATATATACAGTATATTATTGATAAAACCACAAAAGAAAGGGGAATTATCTTATCCTAGGAATCAAACCCTGGCTGCAGATAGCTTTTATTATCCTTGTGGCACTCTGGTAGTGATCCCTGTTCACACACACACAGGGCCCGGTTTCGATTCCTGATTAGTGAGATACTGTATTGTTTGTATATGGAAGTCCGTGTGCATATGATGGGCTGATGATATACAAACTTTCATAAATTGGGGGATGCATTTACTGTACTGTATATTCTTCCTTAACAACATAAAATTGCACTAATACCAAACCGTATGTTCATTCTGATGAAATATTTGCAATTAACTAACAAATAAAAAACTTGAGTAAATATTAAATATAAAAAATGCACAATATAAGTGCAGTATTTTAATACAAAACAAAAAATTATTTCAGTTAAATAAATACATTAAGTAATTTTTCATAAAGAAATGGACCAAAATCAGAACACTTATTTCTGAAAGAGTTACTGGATGTTAAAAACTGGGAATGTGTTTACATTCCAGTACAGTTGTGTCACATATTATGCGAGTGTTACGTTGCTGAGAGGGCACATAAGGGCAAAATGCATACACTGTACAGGTAGTCAAAATTACCCTCGAAAACCCCTTAAATCACCCATAAAGTACACTGTTATACAGTGTATATACTGTACCTGGCGACTCAGCTGGTTAGGCCTATTTCAGTTTAAATGTGCACCACACACACAACGTGCCAAAAAATTTTAAAATAATTCTCTTAGTCAAAAACATAAAGGAAATTAAGCATTTTGTGTGTAGAAGCAGCACTGATGGTGGGAGGGAAAGAGCTACAGCTGGCGTTTCCTCACTCACTGCTCCACTCTCACCATCCCCTACTAAATAGCAACTCAGTATGTTTTTTTTATTTGTTTTCCCACACATTTACTGGTGCAGTATATATTTTATGCACAAAAAATAAATTCTTCCACACGCATCCCTCCCATGCATCCAGCTCAAGACACAGTTCAGGCAGTCACCCAGCTCAACTGACTCAGACATGTGGCGGCCACCGTGGTGGGTGTGCAGTGCCGGATTTAGACCTGTGGAGGCCCATGGGCAGCCTCTTTGTGGAGGCCCCCCTCATTATAACTACCCAAGAGGGTGAGTTGGCGAGTGAAGAGAGCCTAAACACCTGGGAGTTCCGGAGGGCGCTGTAAGCCCCCAGGAAAATTTTGAAATTTGAAGCCATATGCAGTTATATTGAGGAAATTAGAACATTGAGAAAATTTTAATGAACTGTATATTTATTGATAGTGTACAAATTCCCAACACACACACACACACAAAAGTGAGACATGACTGGAGTCATTCATGTGGTTTCAAGTCGACCAGCCCCGATATAGCTACTACCGCACATGTCAAAAATTTGTAGAATTCTAAATATATTATTAGGAGCACAAACAATAGCATTCATTAAAAATATACGGTTCATAGGAAAACCAGGTATTCATGAATTTCAAGGAGTAGCTAGCCTAATTTCTATCACTCTTCTTGCTGAACATAGTTTTATGTGATGGAATAGATAAACATGAATTTTAAAGAATGAAAATAAAAATAATCCAAATGAATAAACAAATAAATAAAATATTGTAAAATGTGGAGACCCCCAGATTGTGGAGGCCCCTGGGCAGCTGCCCACTCCTGAATCCGGCCCTGTGGGTGTGTATGCCATGATGTCACGTCACATCTTTAAAGCCCAGTAACCAACCAGCTCAAAAAACATTTACTTTCCACGTTTAATCTTTAGTTTTCTTATTTTATTGTTTTGTATTATATTTCCACATTTCTAAGCCACATTACAGTATTGTAATGATTTCTTCACAACTTTTAGAGTTTCAGTACAAGTAACAATATACGAGGTGGATGAGCTCGCAAGTCAGCCACGGTACTGTAGTTTATAGCCAAGGCCTTGACTAGACCCGCCTACATACGCATTACTTATCACACATCCACACCCATGCTCTTCATTCTTTTTATTATTATTATTATTATTATACAGCATGTTGCCATTGTTACATAAACTGAAACTATGAATGTTGTGGAAAAATCATTTGAATACTCTAATGTGACTTAAAAATAAAGAAAATATAATATAAAACTTTAAAATAAGAAATATGAAGAGAATGGGTCTGAATTCTGTGTGGAAGCAGTGAGCAATTTGTTAATAGCGCATCTGGCGACTCAGCTGGTTAGGTCTATTTCAGTTTAAAAGTGCACCACAACCACCTCTACTATACGTTTACTTTATCCTCTTTGCCACTGATTGTCAAGTTGATTTCAGCAGAAAATATTTTGGAAAAATAATAAAAGCATAAAAAAGCAAAAATTATGCAAGATAGTACATACACTGCATCACAGCTCAGCTATGATCAGCTGTCTGCCAACCAACCCTTAGGGTCAGTCAGCAGAGGCAAAATCCCTCTCCCGCTCAGTACACGTATCAACTGAGGTTGAGAGAGGTACGGGTGGAAGTATCTCCCCCAGCCATATGCTCCTACATTCACTATGAAGTTCTTTTTTTCCCTGAGCCAAGCACGTAAAGGTGAATGCGCAAAAGATGAGACACGACTGTAATGTGAACAATGGCCATGTACACCAGTACCACAGAACTGGTTGTGGTCAATGAAATTCCTGAACTTGTACTACTTTCTCTTCGAAGGTGTTTAAAGTAGCTGTAGATATTTTTTGGTTATTTCTGTTGGACGATCACAATCATCTTCATAAGGACCAATACATGCTGCATAGGCCACGACATGAGCCACATAGTTCTGTTCATGGACCCGGTAGAAAAGGCGAGACATTGGCTCCTGTAAAGATAATGCTAAGTGAATATTGCATAAAATTTTATAGATTAACTTTACCATTTTAACATTACACACCCCCCCCCCCAATGTTATGTTCCAAAACCCATGATAAAGAATTTTTATAAAGTTCCCCATCAGTGACAGCGGAGGTTCAAGTCTGAACCACCAAAATTAGTCTCTTTGTTTACAACAAATAGTATGCATGCCTGTGTGTACACTGCCATTTTTCGATGCTGGGAAAATCACTTAGATCAAGTGTGATTACAGATTAATATGTAAGAGAAGGGTTATATATTCTTGTGTGTGCGACTGTTTATGTATAAATTATTTTTCATTCATCCTTTATTTGAGTTCACCTCCAACTCACCACCAAAGAGTTCTTGAACACATACATAGCCTACTGACTGAAATAACATCACAAATACCATTTTATACTGATGGCTCTCTTTACACTGCCTGTGGGAGGGCTGCCAAGTAACTCGGCCTAACGTAATACCATACAATAAAGAAATGAGTTAGAATCAATAACCAGGTCATGGTGCAGAGACCATGCCATGATGTTGAGACAACCAATGTCATGGTGCTGAGACCAACACCATGGTGCTAAGGCGACCAATGTCATGGTGCTGAGACCAACATCATGGTACTGAGACCATGTCATGGTGCTAAGACCAACATCATGGTGCTGAGACCAACATCATGGTACTGAGACCATGTCATGGTGCCGAGACGACCAATGTCATGGTGCTCAGACCAACATCATGGTACTGAGACCAACATCATAGTGATCATGGTGCTGAGACCAACACCAAGGTGCTGAGACCAACACCATGGTGCTGAGACCAACACCATGGTACTGAGACTAACATCATCATGCTGGGACCAACACCATGGTGCTGAGACCAACTTCATGGTGCTGAGACCAACATCATGGTGCTGAGACCAACACCATGGTGCTGAGACCAACACCATGGTGCTGAGACCAACATCATGGTACTGAGACTAACATCATCGTGCAGGGACCAACACCATGGTGCTGAGACCAACACCATGGTGCTGAGACAAACACCATGATGCTGAGACTAACACCATGGTGCTGAGACCAGCATCATGGTACTGAGACCAACACCATGGTGCTGAGACCAACACCATGGTGCTGAGACCAACATCATGGTATTGAGACCATGTCATGGTGCTGAGAATAACATTATGGTGTTGAACACAAACCAAATAATCCAAACTTAACAATTCTAAGTTGGATTGGTTAGATTGGGTCAGCTTTTGTTATACAGTATTTCTCTAAACTAAATACAGTACAGGAGGTCCCTGGGTTACGAACCGGTTCCGTTCTTGAGGATGTTCGTTCGTCGGATTTGTACGCGAGTTGGAAAACATGCTATATGCATACTATACTTACAAAACAATATTTGAAATCCCACTATATCACAGCCTAAGTCCTTATATACATCTAAAATCACTTAATTTAAGAAAAAAGAAGACATAGAATGACAAATACAGTAAATGAAAGTAAAAAATAAGTCATCAGGTAAATAAAATACTGCAAATTTAAAGTTTAACCTCGTTCGTATCAGCGAGCATTCGTAAGTCGGGGACCTCCTGTACAGTATACAGTACATAATTTCCATGTGTTTTTGCGATAGTAATGTGGGATATGCCTGAAATGTTGATAATTAATTAAAAGTGTATAAAATTGATCACTTACATCAGGCTACTGAGAGAGGGTCCATAAATGTGATGTTGGTGGGGAAGGAGTCTCGCAGCATGATGCCCTTTTCTCCATGTTCATCCACTTCATCAATGTAGCCAAACCAGTATATGACCAGACCTGCACCAAACCTACAAACCATATATTACATATTTACACATTTTTACACTTCCTTAATGAAAAATAGGGGTTTGGTGTAAATGGGACTGCCCAGTATGGGCCAATAGGCCCGCTGCAGTTTCTTCCATTTTTATGTTCTTATAAATTGACTTGAAGCATCTTTGGGAGCACCTCTGATGCAATTTTTTGTTGTAAGATTGATTGATTAATTGGGTAGAATATCTAGCATTGCAGCCTGTGGCCATTTGATGCCAATAATGAAACCTATTTTTTTTTTTTTTTTTTAACAGGGAATAGCCCACCTGGGCACAGATCATCGACCCACAATGGGGCCTAGGGTGCGAAAAAATAAGAGTAAAATTAAATTAAAAATAGAAAAGAAAAAAAAGATTACCGGTAATAATCTACACCACGAAGAGCCAGAAAACCAGCTTTATAAAGTGAAACAGATTGTATGAGTACGGAAACAGAAAAAAGCAGAGCATTCCACAGTTTGGCTGTGTGAAGAAAGAAGGATGTACTGTATTACAACGGGTTATTCTAGTGTGACCGACATCCACAGAGAAACGGTGGGCACCGCGGGCAGGACGAGTGTTACGAGCCCACGGCCTTGCCTGCGGTGCACAGGATGCCAAATCCACCGAATATTGCCCGTTAAAGTACCTGTAAAAGAGAGAGAGTGAAGCAACATTGTGGTGAAGAGAAAGGGAAGAGAGATAATCAGCTAAAGGAGGAGAGTTAATAAGACGAAATGCCTTTGATTCCACCCTAACAGTTGGACAGAAGAAGAGCCACCCCAGATATGAGAACAGTTTTCCCAAGGACGAATGAATCCCTTATAAACTTGAAGCAACTGCTCAGGAGTGAAGTAGCTACAGCATCTGTACAGCATTCCCAGCTTTCAGGAGGCAGCTTTAGCAATGTTGTGGATGTGTGACTTCCATGACAAAAATAAAACCCAATTACGTATGTTTAAATATCGCATCACACAATTACACACCTACAGTCTCTCATCACACACACTCACTTCACAAGACATTATTTCTATAATTTACTTTGTACTGTACTTCACACCACCACACTACTTGTCTTTACAAAAAAGTAACTAAAAACTTAAAATGTAAATACTGTACAATCATAAGTTTACCTGTTCCAGTAACTCCAGAACTGATCCTTCAGGTAGTTACGATGACTTTCTTCATCACCAAAAGATGCCTTACTCTCTATCCAGTTGATTACTTTCCCATCCACAGCTGCAAAAAATTTCCAAACACTTCAAATCTGTCTGTAAAATTATACCTACAAATTATTACTGTTGTGCCATGTACTGCAATGTTGCACAGGAGGGCCAAATGGCACAGAAAATTACTAATCACCAAATTGCCCCTTGTACATAACCCATAAGGTTGCATGCTGTTTGAAAATAATTAATGCTTATGGGCTCAGTTAAAATATAATTAAGCCCTCGGTATTTAAGTGCAGCTTTGATTTTGGGTCATGTGAAAACATAAAACATTTTAAATGTGTAATTGCTAAAATATCTATGTGCAACATAAAAGGTGAACACAGGTTGGTTAACCTGAGAATCTATCAAAACAGTACAGGCAGTCCCCGGGTTATGAACGAGTTCCGTTCCTGGGAATGTTCTTAAGTCGAAACACAATCTATGTGCATACCATACTTACAGAACAATGTTTAAAATCCCACTATATCATAGCCTGAGTCCTTAAATATATCTAAAATCACTTATTTTAAGAGAGGAAGAAATAGAATGACAAAATACAGTAAATAAAAGTAAAAAAAATAGGTCATCAGGTAAAAAGAATACTGTACTGTAAATTTAAAGTTTAACCTCGTTTGTATCGGCGGATGTTCATAACTCAGGGACTGTCTGTACAGTACAGTACTTGTAAAATCCTGGGAGTAGAGGTAAGAACAGAAAATGGGGGCAGGTTCGTCAACTGCTTCAAAATGAGGGTTCAGGTTCGAAAATGCACACTACACTATTTAAATAAAGATGAATAACAATATCAGTATGTCACTTTGCTTGACAAATGTTCAGCTAAATATCAAATGACTAGTATACAGTGAAGCATAAACTGAACATTGAATCTGCCCTAATTATCTGGTTCAACTCCTCATAACACAACTACAGTTACAGCAATCTAATCCTTAACTTATCATTATGTACACAAATATAACACAATTAAACATACAGGCATCCCCCGCGTTGCGGAATTTCTCTCGTACGGAATTTGTAAATTATGACCAATAATTTCGCGATACGGCCCGTAATCCGCCCTTAGGGAAATTGGGGTAAATTTTAACAATTAAAAAAAAAATCACTACGTATATAAAATTAAAAATTTTTGTTAAAAATTATAATTTGTTGAGTGTGGATTTCTTGGTGTCGCCCTGCGGAGTCAGTCCATTGTTTACATCCAGTGTGCGCGCATGTTTCTTGCCCCAGCAGTTGGATTTAACTTTTACAAACATACAGTAAGTACAGTACAGTGCATTACCCTCATTCAAGATGACTGGAAAGAGGCCATCAAGTGGAAGTGACCGCAATAGCGCAAAAAGAAGCAGCAAAGGCATTACATTGGGTATTAAACTTGATGTTTTAAGAAGGTATATCATAAATTATTTAATGTACTGTATTGTATGTGTTTATAAATGTTTATTTTCATTCATAAAAGTGCTTGTATTACTTTTTTGGGGCCGAAAAAAATTCCTTAGGAACGCATCTCCAGTTTTATAATGGAAGTCAATGGGAAAATAGGTTTCGCGTTATGGCCAATTTTCCAGGGACGCAACCCTTCCGTAATGCGGGGGATGCCTGTACAATGGTTGTACCTAACAATACAGTAATCACAAGAGCAGTTACTGATACTGTACACAAACACCTGAATAGGTGTTCCCCAACAAATGTATGTTTACCTTACCAGGTACTTGAAATCCTGGCCGTGTCTGCCTCTGCCCGAGCAAGGGATCTAAAGCCTACATTATTTAGTGTGGAATTTAATTTGGCTAGTCCTCTACGCTAGTCTTCACTATTTTAACTCATTTGATTGTCTTAATAAATTACATGAAATAGATTATCATATAATATTATTAAAAACAATAACTTCCCCCAACCATTATCCATTACTGTAAACTTCCCCCTTACATCTACAGTACTGTCTTGTGACCACCAAGTAATTTATAATGACTAATCTGCACATGTCCTTCCCTAAGCTATGAGAAGTTTCTGGAGTGAGAAAACAGTAATGTGAAGGGTCAAAACCAACCCCCACAATATCTAAATCAGTAGGTTTGGGTAATTACCTGTTCAGCTTTTATAGTAACAATTTGTAATCATGTTATCAGTAAGAAAATACTAGTACACATTTCATTTGGGACCTTATCATCTGTCCTTCAGCATATTTCCCATAGTTTATTTAACATTTCATGTATATTCTTGGCCTATTACACTACTCTACTATATTTCCAAATTTGGAAAATTGCCAAATCCTGTTTGTTTCTGGTCCAAAGCCTGTTGAATAATTAATCAATATCATACCTGTAAATAAAACATCAAGTTCACAAACGTTAAGGTCCACCTGTACTCGAAATGTCACTGATTTTTGCAGTGTGAAGGAAAACGATTTTGCCATGACACTAAAACTTCAAGCACAGTGGGCCTTGTGGTGGTGATGCCTGTGTATATTTTAGGCCTGTACACTACACCCCTTGTGGTGGTGATGCCTGTGTATATTAATTGCAGTACAGCAGTTAACACTATCTACAATACATATTTACCTATAGGAATTTCCAGCTTGACGTCAGGTGTCTTGTCATAGCCTCTCAGTCTCAGTTCGTCCTCATCATAGTAGCTAATATTTAACTCTTCAAGTTTTCGACGCAAGAAAAATTCATATTCATGGCCAATGGAACTGTGAAGTACAGTATGGAATTATAAATATAAAATTGAGATCAGAAATTAAATTGAAAGGTATAAAGCTTGGAAACTGGCTTAAAATGGATACCAATATTTGTTTGAGCTAATTTTACTTATGGCGGCCTTTCTTCATAATATACTCTTCAGCATAAAAGTGAACTATTTTTCCAATTATTCCACCTTTCTTCTCATATTCCTCCTCTCATTAATTTTTGGACAATGTAAACTGTTCCTCCAACACAGTGGGGGCATCTTAAGTCATTTGAAACTTTAATTTTATCCTTTCTTAAAAACAATGAGAACATCTTATTATGATGACTGCCCTCCAAAATCTTTCATTATATGCCATTACCTGTTACAGTAAAACCTCCATTTAACAGACATTAATATAACATGAATAGTCCATTATAAGGTGTCACATCTAATGGGTCTTGATATAATGGACTGTATTTTAATATATAGTCTGTTGTATGGAGGTTTCACATACTGTATAACAAACCTTGATATAATGGACAACACTCTCCTGTAGAGTCTGTTAAATAAAGGTCTCTGTTGTTATGTTGTTCAGTTTCTGACGAACACAGTAAATCAAATTTTCTTGACAGTAAATATTATACCTTGATAAACTCTTACAATAGAAACACTGAGCTTTTAAAACAGGTTGTTTTCATGTCTTAACAAGACCATTAAAACTTCAATGTTGTAGTCAATCCAGAAATATCATACAAGTTTACTGATGCTCAAATGGAGTTGCAAATGAGATCTTACCCAGTGGAACACTATAACTTACAACACAACACTTACTCTCCTCTTAATATTAAATTATGGATAACACAAAAAACATTAACAATTAATACTGGTAACATCACCTCGCACTGAGAGAAAAAATGGAAGACTGATATGCATATGTGAGTAAAGTAACTGATAATGACCCAGAGAATGGCTTGGGAGATTAAGATATTGTTCAAGAAATAAATAACTTACACAAAAATGATGAACCATCTTGAAATACTTACTGTTTTATGCTGTCAACAAATGGCCCATAGACATCATCCTCAAGAAGACACTAAAAAAGAAAATATATATTGTACTGTATGTAAATTAGCACATGAGAACACCCTTGAACTTTCAAAATGGACCTGCACAGTACCCAGTACTTTTACCTGTCTAAACCTGTAACAAGTAAAATGTGACATCTTCTTAGCCCCAAACCTCCAATGCACACACAATAAAAACACCTCCTTTACATACACACACACACACACTATTAACATCTTCTGTACACACACACATGCACACACACACACACTATTAACATCCCCTGTACATGCACACACTATTAACATCTCCTGTACATGCACACACTATTAACATCTCCTGTACATGCACACACTATTAACATCTCCTGTACACACACACTATTAACATCTCCTGCACATGCACACACTATTAACATCTCCTGTACATGCACACACTATTAACATCTCCTGTACATGCACACACTATTAACATCTCCTGTACATGTACACACTATTAACATCTCCTGTACATGCACACACTATTAACATCTCCTGTACATGCACACACTATTAACATCTCCTGTACATGCACACACTATTAACATCTCCTGTACACACACACTATTAACATCTCCTGTACATGCACACACTATTAACATCTCCTGTACACACACACTATTAACATCTCCTGTACACACACACTATTAACATCTCCTGTACATGCACACACTATTAACATCTCCTGTACACACACACTATTAACGTCTTCTTTTACCTTTATCCTCTTCACCACTGATTGGCTCGTTAGCTGCTTGGGCGATCGGTCACGTCTCTGTTATGCACTGTTGGTAAGTACTGGGCATGGACCGGCTCCTGAATGTATCTGAACCTGCTCCAGTGTTGGTCAAGTCTGGTCTTGAAAGAGCTCACACTCGGCGCCATCACAACACTCTCTGGCAGGTTGTTCCACAAGTTACAACTCTCACTCCGAAAAGTTACCCCTTACAGTTTTCTGGATTTGCGGCTTCTTCAACTTTGAGCTGTGACCCCTTGTGGGGCGAGCTTCAGCCAGCTCGACAAAGCAGTGCCCTTTGAGATGTTTATATACCGCAATTAGGTCTCCCCTTGCCATCTGTAGTATAAGCTAGGCAATTGCAGGCACTCTAATCTCTGTGGGTAGCTGAGGTGTCGAAGTGCAGGCACCAGTCTGGTGGCCCTGCTTTGGACATTTTCAATCAATTGACAATCCCTAGTATATCTCAGGGACCAGACAGGGTGACAGTACTCCAGGTGGGGAAGCAATAGGCCGGTTGGCCTGTGCATGGCAGCTCCTATCGGGAGTTACAGTCACCCTCTATCATCCATGAATCTATCTAGCCTCCTTTTAAAACTTTCCAGCATCCCAACACTTACTGCAAAGTTGCTAAGCTTCTTATAAGACCTAATAATTTAGTTGCTTGGTTCACCTTCTTCTCACAATGTCCTGAGAACTTCAGTTCATTGACAACATACATGCCTCGGTCCTTTTCGCATTCAGTCTCAATGCAGCCATTTCTTCGACCATTCTTGGAGGTCACAGAGATCTTTCTGCAGCTCTTCACAGTCTGCTTGGTTCTTAATTTCCCTAAATAGCTTGGCATCGTCCGCAAACATTAGTGTGGAAGAGTAAACAGCTTATGGCATGTCATTTATGAAGCAAACAAACAACAGCGGGCCCAATACACTGCCCTGTGGTACTCCGCTTGTCACGGGTACACAAGACGATTTCGTGCCATTATTCACCACACATTGCTTGCGGTCATAGAGAATCTCTGATCCACGCTAGGACACTTCCCCGAATCCTATACCCTTCCAGTTTAATTTTTAGCCTTTCATGGGGTACACTGTCAAAGGCCTTGACAAAATCTATGTATATATTGTCGATATTGCCACCCTGTTCCAGAATTCAGGTCTAAACATCCAGTACCTTGAGTATTAGTGTTAAGCAGGAGCGTCCCAGCATAAAACCGTGTACACACACACACAGGCAAGATATAAAAATATACAGTATATATATTTAAAAAATAATTTAAGTGTTACTACAGTATATATATATATATATTATCATAGCTTTAAAATACAGTACACCTAATCTTTGGAAATACAATGAAACAAATAACATAAATGCATTTGACTAATACTTAAGATGACTTAGAAACATGTTCATCAGCATTACTAGTGGTTAAAATAATTTAAAGTTAAGAAGATATATGAATCTACTTCAAACTTGAAATGCAACACTAATATTTACCAAGTATACATCATAACCGAGGTCTCGGTCCTGTATTTGTGTGGTATCTCGCAAAAATCCATTAACTCGTGACTTGTTCACTGAAAGAGATATTATATGAAGATAATTGTGGTACAATATTAACATTAAATGTGTGGAAAAAACAAGAATGACTAAGAGGTGGTCATAAGCTGCCTCAGCACCATGTCTCGCGCTTTCTCTCTCTCACTTTGTCAGTGCAGTATACACTCTCTCGCTCTCTCTACTTGACTGTGACTGCTTCTCGTAAGTCTCTATTTATTTGTTTTTCTTTGTCCATCTACAATACAGTATCTCTTTCCTTGCCTCTCTTGATCTCTTTCTCGCATACAAGTAATAAACATGAGTAAAACTACATAACTCAAAACAAAAATAAACAATGAATTTTCTTGAAAATATTGTCTTCCCATCATATTTTCATGCAAACTTTGCATGAAATTTAAACTTAATCAAAGTGGTGCATGAAGCAATGTAAAGTTTGCATTAACAGAGTAGCAGTCACGATGGTGACCTTATAGTATACAGTGACCCCTCGTTTAACGAACACCTCGGTTAACGTAATTTCGATTAACGAACTGCCTTCCATAAGGATCTTCAATTCGGTTAACGAAAAAAAATTCGCTTAACGAACTTCTTACGAACCGACCTCAACATGTTTTCGCTTGCACTGACCGGGCAACCAGCTTTAGTATCAGTCCGCCAATACATTAATCGGTTCTAGGGCTTAAATTCCTTACTATTTTTGTAAATATCAAGAAGTTTATACTATTCAATAATTTTAAAAGTTTAATATTCAATTTTTTAGTCATTTTAACAATTATTGAACGAAATTGAAGGTAAAGTGACTAGTTTAATGCGCGGCATCCAGCCTCTTAACACAGCAAACAGGCGTCAGTCTCTCTCTGTTTTCACTGGAGGTAACATCTTGCTTGAGACTCTCTTCAACTAAATGCTTTTTTTCTGTGTTTCCAAGCAAATTATTGGTCATTTTGAAATATATTTTATATATTGACAATATATAATGCAGTGCAGCATTGATTTAAAGAAAATAATCTTGAATTAAACCAGAGAGCTAAAATTTTATGGGTGAAATGGCACCATGGGGTGACTTCTCTTCCACCCCAATGCCTTCTCTTCTTCCTTCTCCTCCACCCCCATTCTAAATCCCATCATCATCATCATCATCCAGGAGCCTTCTACATACACACCTCAAAGTAAGTGAACTTTTCTACCATTTTTGTTGAATTTAGGAAATTTTCGGTGAGCTGGAACCAATTACCCAAAAACCCATTGAAACAATGGTTTCGGTTAACGAACGTTTCGGTTAACGAACGACCTTCTGGAACGGATTGAGTTCGTTAACCGAGGGGCCACTGTACTGTAATACACTGCCTTCAAATACTATACAGTACTATACTTTCATGCTATATACACCTCACAGTATACTGTATACACTGCCTTCATATACTATATTTCAAGCTATATACACCTAACAGTATACCATATACACTGCCTCCATATACTATACTTTCATGGTATATACACCTTACAGTATACTGTACTGTATATACTGCCTTCATATACAATACTTTCATGTAATATACACACACAACCAGCAACCAAATTATGATCATCAGTTTGTTTTACACATCCATTCTACATACAAACACTTCAAGAGGGTAGAAAGCACACTGTATACTGTACCTAAATGCAATATCTAACACTATATCCCCTAATACTGTACAATGATAGTAATCTCCCCATTAGCCAGAATCCCCTATCCCCGGAACACTCCAATAGCCGGAATTGAAATCGGGCTGGGAAACTCTCCATTCCGGGTCTGCAAAAGAATTTTCAAGGATGAAAATCGGACACATTTTCTGGAAAATTTTCCAAGAAAATGTCACCAAACTTCTCCTTTCTGGGCCTGGGAATAAATTTACTATATCGTGAGATCTGAGAGATTGCATAATGCTCCGCCAGGTGCGTGAGTGGCCTAGCTGCTTGGATCACTTAGTTCATATTTTACTGCGATTGTAGAAGGTTGTTCCCTCATTAGCTGCTGTTTTTGCATACAATTTTTGTTGTGCACTACTGTACATTACTGTACAGTACCAGGACACAATCACCTTAACTTTTGTCTTTATTCAAGACATTTTACCTGTCAAATTTGGCTCTTCATTGGTGATCACATTTACCATTTTTTCTTTTTTTTCACTCTACTCCTAATTTCAAAAATACAATTATTTACTGCCTCCAGCAAGTCTTCACCAGTTGTTGTTCCTCTCATTGGCTGCAGTGATGCCAATTTTTCTGTGATCTTAAAATTTTTGGAAATGCCTTGAATGAAAATTAACAACTGTGCTATGTCTCGGACATCACAACTTTCATCAGTGCCAGTGAAAAGTATTCAAGTCTTAACTTTATCTTCAAACTGCAGATACATGTTCTCGGAGACGTCTTCAACACATCTTACAATACAGTAGGTAGTTCATCTTGACAAACTTACTTTCTCAAACTGGTTTTTCTTGTCTGGACATAAAATAGAGGCAGAATCAACCACATATTCCTTTATAAATTCTCCTTCAGAGAAATAAAAACCCACAAATTTGGGGGGCCCCCTGTATTTTTCTGTTGTTGTAATTGAGTAACCATCTTGTTAGCTTTCTTCCTCTTTTTTTTTCACCTGAAAAGTTTTTTTTATTTACTGGTATGCTTGGTCTAATGGCCTCAAAATGGTGATGTAAATTTTAATTTTTTAGCACTGCCACACTCTCTTTGCAATTTAAGCACATTGCTTTTCCATCCATGTTGATAAAAAAAAAAAATAAATAAAGTAAAGTCCATTCCTTGTTGAATGTTCAACATTCTGCCTCAGCTTTTCTCTTTTTAGATGCATTCATTTTCACTTTTAAGTACAAATTTTGACATACCACAGTAACATCCTCTTCATTGAGAAGCAGAAAGAATACTGAACTGAGCTTCTCTAGTGGGTGTTGGAGCTGGGCACCCAGGTCAGTGGACACATTGCGTAGTGAGGTGTGGCCGTTCGCCATAACTCGAGAATGGGTTTCTTAGGTAAGGGTTTACTGACTTTTCTTCACCAAATCCTAATCCCTATGCATAACCATACTTGGGATATTCCCAAGATCAGGTCAATAAGTGATGAGTCGGTCTTGCTGCTATGGGTGCCCAACTCCCTCATAGTGTAATAATGATCCTTTGTAAAAAATAAATAAAATAATATTAACAAAAATAAAAAATCCCTATTTGGGCCATATCACGCCCGCCCCTGATTTAAACCACTGACTTACTTACCTGTCATATCTGGGAAGTTGGCAGTAAGGTACTGCTCCAGAATCAGCTTAGCTAACATGGCAGGGGAGTAGTCCATCTCCTTTGCCTTCCTCACCAATATGCCGGGACTTTCTCCACGCTTAACAGATGACAAGTAACTGAAAAATCATAATCCATAATAAAATTCAGTAGCTCCAAATGTCCATCAGGTGCTGCTAGACAAGATATTGGCCATAACTCACCATTGTAACAATAAGAAAATACTATGCCATTGATCTCCTTAAAGATAATTTTGGGTTAAATCCACAAACTAAGATTCACTAAAAAAATCAATTCCACAATGCTTTTGTCCAAAGAATTCTTTGTAATTTCAGTTTTTTTCAAACACTAATTTTCTTTGAAAGGTAACTATTATTTACAAATTTTTCGATTATACTTAAGGTATAGACCCTCATATTCAAGACTTGGGACCATGACCAAACCAGTTTTGCTTCCACACACTCACACAAACTCAGTTGAACATTGGTTTTACTTCTTAAGTAATACTGTATATGAAAGAAAATATTGTAAAGTACAATGAACCCTCAAAGATCCGGACTAAAAGGGGGACCACCTGACCGGAAAAGCAGATTATCCAAATCTTCCGGTGAATGTACTTAATGTATAAAACCGATAAATAATGAAAAAAAAAACACCAAAAATACAGTACATATTATCCTGACCACTGGGCTTAGTTATGCAAACTTTTTCCTGAGAAAAAGTCATAATTTTGAGCAACATATTACTGTACTCATTTGTACTCGATGTACTACACTAAATGAATATTTTTTTTGGGGGCAAAATATGTAAATTCTACCGTATATTCAAATTATTTGCTGTTTTGCAAGGGTTCCAGCAATGCAAGTTATATTCTGCTTATTTTAGTATGTAACATTTTATAAAATAAAAACTTGAAACCTAAAACTACCTTCACCCTGTTTTGGGAATGCTTCTTAGGGAGGCTTCTTAGCTCAGAACCCCCCAATTTTTTTGTCCGGATCTTCCGAAATCTGGATTTACCGGGTTCAGATCTTCGAGGGTTTACTGTACAGTACTGTACATACATATAGCACTTAAAAAAATAATAACCGTCTACCTGTATTTAGTTGTTGAGAGTTCCATAAAATTGAGTTACAAGAGTTTGTTGACATTCCATCAGCTTGTAGTGTTTGAAGACGTTTGCCAGAAGTAGAATGTTCATTAATAATTGTTGTCTGAATTGTGTTAATACGAATTAATATTAATACCTGCTCAGTAAAGATACTTAAAATATTTATGAACTTTCTACTTCTGATAAATCTCATGAAATGCTACAACCTAATGGAACATCAATACTCATGTAACTCACTTTTATGGAACTTTTCTATTTAAAGTATAAATACAATATTTTCTTTAATTTGTCATTTAAGAAGTAAAACCTCAATTCTTTGATTAAATTTGACCAGTGTTAGTTTCAAAAATTATCTGAACACAATATTAATATAGTACAGTAGTTTATTAATTAACCCTCACCTCTAAGTTAGGCTAGAGATTATAAAAAAAAATTTCAGAGGGTCTTTAATGAGCTGTTTTGAGCATATTTTGGAGGCTATTTTGTTTTCACGATTTTACATGCTTAATCACAAAATTGGGCTTGGTATTATATCCCAAATTGTAAGATTCAGCACACCTAAATTGAGTTAGAAATAGAAGTTACCAAGTTCTGCTAAAAAAAATGCCTCTTGGTGCCATAAAATGATCCATTTTCATGAATTTGGTCTAGTCTATATTGACACACTTGAGTCAAATTCTGAGGGAGGTGAACCCACCTGCTGTAAACCTTAGCAGCATTCTCCTTGGCATTAATACGGTGGAAGCTCTTCTTTACTTTCCTCTGCATCTCCTGGGCAGCAATGCTGCTCAATGTAGTTCTCTCAATCCTGCACAAATAATGTAAAATTATCACAAACATCATGTAAAGTAGATGACCAGTGTCCAATGTTCATCTTATTTATAGGGTCATATCAGAGGTTCTTATGGGGTTATATCAGGGGTTGTTATAGGGTCATATCATGGGTTGTTATGGGGGTCATATCAGGGGTTCCCCAATATCTACCTGGTTCACCTGTCATCATCACAACCTTCCCCATAAATCTTTCATCTTCACTAATTCATACACTGTTTCTGTCTTGAGTGGCAACATAATGACTTGTAAATTTTTCGTCAGGCTCAACTATCGATTCAAATGACAAGTCTGACAGTCCTTTACCTTTTCAGGGCTGATTTTGGCATTTGTTCAGTTTAATGGTCTGAATGTTGTGAGACTAAGTCCAGCTTGTGGGATAGCTAAATCATATTCAATTATTATGCATCTTTTAAAAAGAATTCTAATACAGTACAGTGCTCAGTATCTCAACACATTTTAAACTGCTTTTCTTCTATAACATTTTATCCAGCATATCTAGAGTGTCTTGTTTACCTCATTATACCTGTACCAGACTTTGTTCAGACCCGCGTAGTATGATTTTGTTTACATTAAGCGTCAATTGGTTTTATTGCATTGTACTAAAGAATTTGCTGGAAAAACTTTTCATAATGGAAGGTATACATGTAATATGTGATAAGATGATATTGAGAATGCTTCTACACCACACTACTCCTGAGTGTACAGGACTTGGCATCATAATGTGGCAGAGTACAAGCCTACCGTATGTCTAATTGAAATTCTACAGTTTATAGTAACGTTAATGTTGTACATATTTTTTTCTGGCTGATATCTGACAATTTTATCAAGCTGAGAGCAAGCCTATGGACTGATGGGGTTCATGTATGGTGATGTGACCTGCTCTACGTGAGAGCAAGAAGCATAATTATTAAAGTCTACAGAGAATTCCCTTTATGAGATTATGACTGTGCAGCATCAGTGTTGTGTAAATTCCTAAACTAAATATTGTTGAAGGTCCCACATTATGTACTGTATTACAGTACATAGATACAGTATAGGGCTGGAACTGCAACGATGGCATTTAAAAAACTAGGAATATTTTCACCAAATACCATCACCCCAAAAAAGATATGTTCTCCTAGGTTCTTATCCTCTTACCCAGAGTATGGACACATTGATCCTGGTGGGAGATACTGTACATAAATAGCAAAGTATGTATTCACAATGCAGCATATTATAAACAAAATACTGTATATCATAGTCATGATAAATGTTGAAAAGTTGCTTTAAATTTTTCTCTTCTAGTTTTCCCTTACTATGTTTTTCTGCGATTCTTAAGAGTTCCAAAATTTTCATTAGCATTTTCATGACTACTGTTATTTCCAAGAGTTTTCCACAATTTTCAATGACTAGGGGAACCCTGCAGGTACAATCAGAGAAAGGTGTTTCTATATCCACAGTTCAAGACATGTAAGATTGTATCATGCAAGAATCCATATCCATATCGCTACGACTGCAAGAGAGGACTAGAAACGCGATCCGTGAGACATTAGTCGAATCCCCACTCATTTTTACTACAGGTACTGCAATTCTGCCACATCTTGACTGGGAATATGACAGGGGATGTAGAAACACCTTTCCCTGACTGCACAAGTATAAGTAGGTAGAGTACAGTACCAGGAACAAGACAAATTGACAGGCTTGGAGGAGGGACAGTAAACAGCAGGAGTTAACTCACCCAGGGAACTTCTTCACAAGAGCTGCATTAACATTTTCTTTGCGCTTGGTATTTATGAATTTAATTACTTCATTAAACTGCTCAAGCTTCATTCTATTGACTGAGGTATTAAGCTGAAAAAAATAGAAAAATACATAAAATATACAGTACAGTACAAGTATAACAAATTTGCTATACAGTACAGTATTCCCAATTTACTGATGTGAACATTAAATTCATGAGTATAGGTGGACCCATTTAGGAAAGAACACTCACATAGACTCCCACTATAGAAGCAGAGATATGTTCCTATTAAAAAAACTTCCCAACACGTCTTATATATGACTATATATACCATAGTGTGGCAGCTTGGATCACCATGTTCACTTTACGCGGTGCATGTACTCTTTTACACGGAGAGCGGCGCGGGCAGGGGTGCGCACAAGGTCGCCCAGTCATCAAAACATTACCGATTTCTTCACCCGCCACCCACCACAGCCGGCCCAAGTCAGTGATAGTGAGGATATGGACTTATATGGACTTTGAGGGGTTTGACAAAAAGGGCCCTGCAAGCCTCTGTGGTGGATAGTGATACAATTGATACAAGGGGTCCGACTAATTACCCAAATGTACCCAATTGTAGCCGCAATGAAGTCCTACATGAATAAATCGGACTGCTAATCACTTCTCGACTAGTATTTGGTGTCACGAAGTCAAAAAAAATTGGTAAACTTAATTTAATCTGCGTTAATAGATCGAATGCATGTACCTAACCTAACCTCGACTAGTATTTGGTGTCACGAAGTCACAAAAAATCGGTAAACTTAATTTAATCTGAGTTAATAGATCGAGTGCATGTACCTAACCTAACCTAACCTAACTCAACTCAGATTAAATTAAGTTTACCAATTTTTTGTGACTTTATGACACCAAATAATAATCGAGAAGTGATTCACAGCCCGATTTATGCTTGTAGGACCATCATTTGACTTCACTGCGACTACATTTGGGTTCATTTGGGTAATTACATGCTCCCTCGGTACAAGCACGCGATCTATTAACTCAGATTAAATTAAGTTTTCAAATTTTTTGTGACTTTGTGACACCAAATACTAGTTGAGAAGTGGTTGGCAGTCCGATATATTCATGTAGGACCATTATTTGACTTCATTGCGGCTACATTTGGGTAATTAGTCGGACCGGATACAAGTGATACAGGTGAGGGCCAATAATCTGCCCTCTGCTTCAGAACCAGCCCCCCATCCCCGTGTGCCCAGCCATCTTTTCTACTAATGTAAGTGTTAAAAAACCTAATATTATTGATATTTCTCTTAATTATTAATTGTGTGAGCATACCATCATAAAATTAAGAAGTTATTTTTACTACAACGTAGGTATTGTGTATGAAAAAGTGGAGTTTGGGGGTCGGCCCAGTCTCTATTTCAATTAATCCCATATGTTCTGTTGTTCACTTTACGTGGGCCTCTGTGGGTTCAATTGACCGCGTAAAGCGAGGTTTCACTGTACAGTAGACATAGGATTAGACAGCAACATAAGTAAATTTGCTGATGATACTAAAATAGGGCGTGTAATTAAATCCGACGAAGACTCCAAAAAATTGCAGGAAGTTATAAACAAATTTCTTTCATGGTATGAAAAATGGCAGATGAAATTTAATGTCAAAAAAATGTAAAGTTCTTTACCTCAGAGAAACCAGATATCAGATGAACAATATTGATGTAGAAAAATCCGACTGAGAAAGATTTAGGGGTAATAATAAATAGCACCTTTAAACCAAGACAACAATGCATATACCGTACGGTAAAAGCCCCATAATTCAAAATAATAGGGGCTCTAGCCTTTACGAATTATGAGGGATACTTTTTCCTAAAGGAATAACAAACAAAATCACAGTACAGTATTCGTCTATTGGTTGTTCGCGATTTCCACCATGTTTACCTGAGGCTATACTCCTCATTTCCTCCTCCCCTTGTAGGTTAGGTTAGGTTAGGTTAGGTTAGGTTAGGTTAGGTTAGGTTAGGTTAGGTTAGGTTAGGTTAGGTTAGGTTAGGTTAGGTTAGGTTAGGTAGGTTGGTTCCTTTGTTATAAAATATGGTTTTTTTGTGTGTTTTGGGGTGAGTTTTACTCAAATCGGACCTCCTTTTTGTGCAAATTAGCGGTTTCTGTTAAAATACAAAATTTCATTTTTTTTAACAAATGCTAATTTGCACAAGAAAAGAAGGTCAGATTTGAGTAGAACACCAAAAAAAAAAAAACCTATTGTCAACCAAAACCAGAGGACAGCCAATGGACAAATATTTACCTTATTATTTTATCATGTTACTATATTAAAGAATGTTTGAATGGTCAACTAAATCCCAAACATGACTGTCCAGCACATATGTACTGTACCTGTATTGTACTGTAGTCAGATTCGCCCCAGTTGGTGACCCAAGTACACCAACGACCACTTTGACAATTGGACCGAACAAATAAGTTAATATGTTATATGTATGTAAATTGTAAAATTGTAAATAAAAAAAAAAAAAATAAAAATAAATGGTTTTAAGTGATAGAAACGTCTTTGTATGTATACCTCAGTAAATATTCACCTTGATGCAAGTGTAATCATAAATTATGTATATTATAGATATAGTAAGTACGTATAATGTCACTAGCCTATTAAACCAGCTTTGTAAACTGTAGTAACCAAACTGGGAGTCTGGTGGAGTATCACGGCTGTTCCTGAAATTAGAAAATAACATAAACCACAAGATAATCTTAATTAACTAATAGTCATGTTTTGTGGAAACATTTCTACTTTAAACATAAATCTTATAGTTTAATTTCAAATGTTTATATTTCCGCTATCGAAATGTAGATGAAAACAATATTCAGTTTACAGGTGCAGGTCGTATGTGTGAAATATTACTGTTACCTTTAAATTTCGAGAAAAAAAAATTAATATTTGTGATCAACTTTTAAACTCAGTACGTAATTGAACTTTATTTCACCTGTAGTCAGTAGTGTTCTGCCCAAGGAATATAGAAGAAATAAATACTACTCCGCGTGTCAGTGGAATATGTCGCACTAAATGTAGATGGCGATGATCAATGAGTCGTCTGTTGCATGTAGATCCAATTTCCACACTGGAAACGTGGACAAGATAAATATAGATAAAACCACACAAGTAAAGGGAAATATATATATATATATATATATATATATATATATATATATATATATATATATATATATATATATATATATATATATATATATATATATATATATTTCATGTAGATCCACAATGGAAACGTGGATAAGATAAATCGTGATAAAATCACACAGGGGAAAGGGATACAATGGAGAACCTTAGCTTTCGTCTTTATTCAAGACATCTTCAGAGGCAACTGAATTACAAAGACTGAGAGAGAGTGTGGGGTATGGGTTGTTTGGGTTCACACTCAGGATGGATGGAGAAAGGAAACTCACAATGTGCTCTCTGTATACATGTTGTATTGGATGTACAATGCAGCTTGGTGCTGGGAAGTGGCAGCATGGTTACAAGCGTGATGTAGAGAGAGCTGGTTGGTGAGGATGCTCAGAGGAGGACCAGCTTGTGGGTCGCCATGCTCTCCGGCGGGAGCGAGGGCCGCCATGCAGGCGGAGGAGGAATGTTGCTGGCTGGTTGGTGTAGGTAGAAAAGAGCCAGGTCACCACGAGGTCAGGTCTTAAATAGCGGAGGTAGGCGTGGCTTAGTAGTTGACCTCCGTCATGTAAGGCGGCGCTGGTTGACCTAGACCACGAGGCATACACTGGGGAATTCGCGGGATCGGCTACTCAGCGACAAACAGCGTTTGTAGGGGAGAAATCCACTACAAGAGCTTATGTACACAGGGTGACCTTACAACACATGACATCCACTAATCCACAGACCAACCACACAGTAAACATAAGAAGAGATGTGGGTCAGTACTGTGTCGAACCGTCTGTCCTCAAACGCAGGAAGATTAATCGCATCCTCTTTTGTGAACACCAAGGAAAAGAAACTGTTCAATGCCTCAGCTTTGCCCTGGTCAGAATCTGCGTAGCTATCATCTTCAAGCCTCAGGTCCGATACTCCTCGCGTTTTTAAATTTGACTTTGCACAGCTGTAAAACGCCTTTGAGTTTGACTTGACCCCGCTTGCAACCAGCCTCTGGAACTCCTTTTCAGCCCTTCTACACTCTGACTTTGCTTGGTTTCTGGCTCGTGCATACATCCCCCTGTCCTGCTCGTACCTAACCCACGCCTTGAATTTCTGGGTTTTCTTAACTTTGTCGACTGCCGCATGGTTCACGTGTAGGGGTCTCTTTGTATTCCTAGAGGCACTGGGTTTGGTCTTGAGTATACAGTATATTTTTCGATCAAATGGTTCACTTTACAAGCCATGATATTCAGCGTAGTGTCTGCGTTCTTTTGCCTTAGTGAGTCAGGCAGTGGATACCCCTCATCCCGTCGTTATTTCCATTGTAATATTTGCACCTTGGCCTGGTTTTTTCGTGAACTAGGTAACAGTTAAATCTGAATGACAACATTACATGGTGACTGGTGCCAACTGGGACTAGATGTTCCAGTTTTGCCACCATACGGTATCCTCCTCGTTTGTTATGATGAGGTCCAGTGGCTTGGGTGTTTGCTCCCCTCTGTACTGTGTTAGGTCTTTAGCATGTTGGAACAGAAAATTATCTCTCAGATTTTCTACTGTTACGAGTGTCCGCTGTTAGTTTCTGTTCTTTGTATAAAAATCGTTGTTTCGGATGGTGTGTGGGTGTCTCGGGCAGCTTCGCTCACTACTCGCCCACACCAACTGAGCCCTTATTTAAGTATTAACTTTGTTTATTACATTGCATTATGTTTTATTGTATTGTTTTATTACATTAAGTTTGTACATAGGTTAAATACGTGGAATTAATGTCAGTAGGGTAATTTAAATATAGTTTTATGTTTTAGCCAATCAGGATATGTTACGTCAGTATTTGGCGGTAAAAGGTGACGTCGGTGACCAGCTGGTAGTCGGTAGTCAGTCTAGACACAACTGTCTTTAAGTTAAGTTACTTAACTTAAAGACAGCTGTGCCTACTCTCTCTCTCTCTCTTATGTTTTGGGAGTTGGCATTTGACTATTGTGATTTGCGTTGATTGATATTAATATTGTGTGATAATGTTAGACCTTCAGTCTTACTCAGCCGCTTACAAACATCTTATCGTATTATTGTTGTTTTAGTGTTTGTCTGTTAATATAATATTTTTAATTAAATCTACTTCATGAATTTCAATATACCCCATAGTAATGAGGTGATGAATTTCGTGGGATCTATTCCTGGACCTATAGTACAAAGAGAAATTTGAATTTGTGATATTGTTACGACTTCTTGATGGTAACTAGGAAAAACGCGCATGCGTGCGTAGTGTCAACAAAGGCTGTAAGAGACTGCTCCTTAAAATTCGTATTTCTGACGAATTCAGAGAGTCTACCAATCCCAGCCTGTGTAGACAACTACAGTAAGACCCAGTTATCAGCACAGTGGCATATATTTTTTTGTTACTTTTGGACTTTGTCATTTTTTGGGGATAAAACATCTGGTCCTACCACCCGATCCCTCTGAGCAAAGTTTTCAAGTTTGCGCATGCGCAGTGTGATAGTGTGACGTCATTACCACTCCACCTGACTGCAGTGTTGCCAACGTGTCCTATGCCCGCCGTTAAACGCTCCCGTTCGTTGGAAACGGCGGCAGTAGGTGACAGTGATGCTGACGACTTTCTTCTTGAAGACACGTCAAAGAAGAAGCAGAAACCTCAGAAGTCAGGGTCTCCAGCAGGGGCCACGGCTCCCCCTTGCACCCCTTCTGGGGCTGTAGAGGGTGGACTCCTGTCATCGGGGTCCCCAAGTGAGCCTACATGTGGCTCAATGACCGACCCTCCGCCGACGATGGACATAGGGGATTCCCTTTGTCTCCCTGCCCCGTCGCGCCTTCGTCGTCTCGCCTTCCCTCGGGACTTGCCTCTGAGCACACGGACGACCTGGTTCTTCCGTCACTGCTCTCCACTTCAGGACTCAACACTTCGCCTCCGCCGAGGTCCCACAGCCGTGATAGTCACCACACAAATGGACGAGACGGTACGCCTGCTCACTCAGGTGGGCTTTCCTGCTCCCCAGGGGGAGGTGATGCTGAAGTTCACCATCATCACCCCAGAAACTCGTCGTACCAAGGTAATGGTTCGCCACGTACCCTGGGAGATCCCTATCGACGATCTTCGCCCTCTTCTCCCACAACTACTGGACATGGAGCGCCGCATCAACCCGGTCTCCAAACGTCCATCCAACGAACTCATCGGCTGGTGGGTGGGCCCCCTCCCCCCGAAGGTGAATGTAGGACCAATTCACAACTGTCCTCTCGACCGATTTATCGGAACCCCGAAAATCTGTGGTCGTTGCCAATCGTGGAAACACCGCACCTGGGAGTGCACGAGGATGGTCGCCTGCGGTTTCTGTGCAGGTCCTCACGACACAGTGGAATGCAAATCGAAAATTCAGAACAAAATCCCAGTTATTCCACGGTGCGTCAATTGCCATGGCAGTCACCACGCCTGGAATGCCAATTGCCCACAGCGTCCTGGCACTCGCCCGGGGAAAACTTACCTTGTACCACCGCCCTCGTCTCTGACGAAGCCCCTGTCAACCAAACCTCAATCCTATCCACCACCGCCTCTTCCATCCACCAAGGATTTCCCATTGATCTCCTCTCCTCTACCACCCCCTCCATCACCCCTACCACCCATCCTTTCTCCCCTCCCTCCCTCTCCCTACCGTTCTTGGAACAAGGTCGTTGCCGGCCCTGCCACACAGTCACCACCATCTCCTGCCCACCCGGACCCCCGCTGTCTCTCACCAGCACCACCACCTCTTACTCAACTGAACCCTCACCGTCCCTCTCCGTCGCTACCACCACCACATGCCCAGTCGGGCCCTCGGCAATCCTCGCCGCCACCTCCAGCTCATGCACAGGTACACCAAGTTGGTTCTATGGAAACAATCACTCTCCGTCTGGATCGCCACTCCAAGCAAATCAACCTTCTCTCAACCCAACTCGACTTGTTTGTGAAAACAATTGCGACATTGCAGAAGCAACAACAACTCATTCTGGACACCCTGACCCAACAGGGGCGCGCTTTGCAAGCCCTGATGACCCGCCTCCTTCCATCTCCCGAGATGGAGGATCCATCCCTCGCTCTCCCACTCCTCCCTCTCCATTTCTCTCAACAGAATTTGGTACCTCCTCTGGAGCCCTGTCTAGCCCCTCCGACTCATCTCACACCGGAGGCCGTTCCCTCCTCTTCTTACAATGGAACATCCAGGGACTTAGACCTCGCCGGACAGACCTCGCCCAGTTTGTGCTCTCCCATCAAGTAGATGTTGCTCTACTTCAGGAAACCATCACAGACGATGTTACTCCACTCCGCCTCTCTGGCTATTCTGTTTACACCCTGCCTCGGTACCGTGGGCAGGCTCGTGGCCTCCTCACCCTTGTGCGTAACACCATTCCATCTGTTCGTCTCCCTTCACCTGACTCACATGGACCCCCGTCTGAATTACTTTCTGTCTCCCTTACTCTTGGTGACCGGACCCTTCGTGTAGTCAATGTTCATTTCAAGAGTAATTCTCTGGACCCCCAGGTTCTTCACGACCTCCATGATGGGGTTCCCACTATTGTTCTTGGCGACTTTAATGCCCGCCATCCCACTCTTACTCCGGATCATCCCACTCCATGTACCCTTAATGGATCACATCTCTCACAGTTTCTTAATGGGGATGATGATGTTCGCTTTCTTTGTCCTGACGATCCTACTCGCCTCCCCCATAGTTTCCTTGATGTTGGCTTACTATTGAACGGTCATACTTCCTTTCATCCTACCGTCTGCACCGAGCCTGCTCTGTATAGTGACCATCTTGCCGTTACTACCCATCTCAGGCTCTCCTTCTCTGCCCCGACATCAACTCCTTATCGATCCCCTCGCCTTCGTCTCACACAAGATGCTGTTCCTTCCTTTACCCAATACCTTTCTACCTGGGCGG